CAACAAGATGATTACAATACACATACACACACACAGACATATGTGCACTTTAGAAAAATTCTGGGTTTAGCATGGTTAGTAACTTACACTTGGTAAACCATATGTGGCTAATTCCAAGCCTGGCCATGTGGACTTTTCTATCACACTACCTTCTTCTTCACATGGGCTATTCTCCTCCCAGGGCAATCCTTTAGTCAAAGGGTTTAGGCCTTAAAAACATCCACCTTCTCCCTCCTATGACCTCCTCCCTCCTCAGTGAGTGGCAATGTGTCCCCTGACATGTGGAAGAGGTAACACATAGGAACACATACACACATGCACACACCGCTCACAACACAAATTTAATGTTCTGTGTCCTACAGAACTGCAGTCTTAAAATGTGACATGGACTTCTTCTGGTCTACAAGCTTGAGCCAAGAGACAGAGTGAGTCTTACCAAGTATTACTAGAGCTGTGGTATCAGAAGAAGGAATAAAGGCCACCAGGAAGAAGGCTGGGAAATATCAGCAGAGCATCGAGTCCTCCCAACTCCTGAGGTGTTCTGTTTCCCCAGAGGGACATACCCTTTCCTCCAACCTACTGATATGAACCTCTGCTATGGAACAGGTCCACTGACCCACAGGCCTCAGAGACAACAAGACACAAATGGCAACACTGTCTCACCTAATATTCACATGGGGGTTTCCTCTGTCTCACCATCTCTGGAGGGTTGGTGTCTCATGTAGGGAGGGTACTAAATACCTTTTTGGGGAATGAATAATTGGCAATGTTGTGAACTATGGTGTGCAGATACATTGGGCTCATTCACAACTTTATACCTGCAAGTTTTATCATAATAAATGATTGATAGACTGCTTTCCATGTGCCTTGCTCTGGGACAAGAAGTAAACACTTTAGTTGTTCCCATTTACATCTCAGGAGGCAGACTTGGAGGAATTAAGGGACTTGCCCAAAGCCTTAGATCTAGAAGAGTTCTGACCCAGCATTTAAACCCAGGGAGGTTGGCTTCAGTGCCAGATGCTCCACTCTGATGTCACACTGCCTCCCAGGGGGCCCTGTCCACCTGCAGCCCGGAGGCACTCTCGGGACAGGACCGGACAGAACAGCTTTGGTTCCACGCCAGCAGAACAGGTAATGATCCACCGTCACGATTCCAGGAGTTACCAGTGATCTGCCCTGAGCCTGGGAAGGGACAGATGTTTAATAACTTTGCAGTAGCAAGGAGGAGGTTACATAACACGGCTGAGCTATTTTTGAACTTTATAAAATGCTGACTGCTCTTTTCAAAGTGCCTTCTGTAAAACCAGAAATATTAAACATAAAGAACATTTTCCCCGTTCCCCCACCTTTTTCCCCCCTGAAATCCCAGGGACAGAAACAGATCCACGTCATCCTCAGCAAGTAGTCTTTTCTACTAGGTCCCACATCATAAGCAGTAAGTCATGGCTACGGTGTCCTAAGTACACAAGCTCCAGGTAGATTACAAGCCATGTCCCTGACGACCACAGAGGGACACGTGTAACTGATTCCAAGACGGTGCACTCAACCAAAGCTGCACCCCAGACCCCCGCACCAGTGCACCAGAATACCCATTAGCGTGAATTCATCAGAGCTCCTTCTGAAGCTATGAGCATCCTCCTTACTACACAGGGGGAGTAATGGGAGCTGCTTGGCTATTGGATGCTTTGGAGAACCCTCAACTCCAGAGTCCTGGGCTTCTGCTGAATAAGTGGATGAATCCGACTCAGTCTACAGATACTAAAGATCCCTTACCAGTGACAACATAAAAGTCCATCAGAGGGGGATGATCAAACAAACAATGCAACAGTTATACAACAGAACACAAACAGCAACCATGATGAATGTACTAGAATGACATGGGTCCTCATAGATTCATCTTGAACCACAGGTTGAGGTAAAGGAAAGTTTGAAGATATCAGATACCACTCAGGTGCATTAAAAAGAACTGTGCATATAAAGACATCTATACTGGAAGTACAAAACAGGCACACAGGTTTGGATCCCTACCAAATTCAGGACAGTGTTTTTCCCTCCCAAAGAGAGGAAGGGAAGAAAGTGGGACTCGGGAGAGAGAGAATCAGGACTGTTACATCATCAGTCATGTTTTATTTTTTAGAATTTTGAAACAAATGTGACACGTTCACCTTTGTTCTCTGTGATGAGTGTTGGGGTGGGTGTTTTATCAGACTCTGTACTATTCTTTTTTTTCTCTCTCACCCTAATATTTTTGAAGAAAGTCCTTGTTACCCGAGTTTGTCGTGAGACAAATTTCGTCTATCTTCACCAGATTGTGCATTCTTTGAGGAAAGAAGTTGTATCTTCATTCCTGTCTGTATTTCAGGGACCAGCACGGGGTCCATTGGATGGGAAGAATGACCAATGTAGGAGAGAATAGTGCCCTGAAGGCTTTTCTGAAAAACTGCTGTTTTGGGGGGTGGGGTGGGGAAGCTTCCTCCAGCTCCCAGTCCCTTCCTTGCCTGGCAAGCTTCTCCGATTCCCTGGGTGAGTTTAAGAAACACCGTGACAGTGGGCAAGTGTGGGAAGGAGCCACTGCCTATGATGTATTCCAGCCTCATATGTGGGGTGAGCACTGTCAGTGCCCCATGGATGGAGAGATGTTTCATTAAACACCAGGCAGTGGGTGACGGCTTACCACACTTGATGCATTGCTACTCTGGGGCTGAAACACCATCTACAAAATTGCCGCATTCAAAACATAACTCCTAGAAATAGCATGACAGCATTTCACAGCAGGATTTTTTTTTTTTTTAGAAATGGAATTCAGGGTGCTCACTGGAAGGAGCTTTGCATGTCTTGACGATTACCCTTCTCAAATTCCTTTTCCTGTATATATTATATTTCAATTGCCCTAAAATTGAGTTACGTTTTCATCAGAATTATACATTTCTGCATATTCCAGCTGTAGGGCACTTCTTATGGGAAGGAAGCATTCATTAGCCCAGCCCTTGTCTTTGGGCTGGCAGGAATCCTGCCTCCATAAGAGGCTTCCATGCCTCATACTGATTGATCTGAGTTCCTTCCTGATATTTAGACAATTATTTAAAATGCTGGAAGTGGTAATGTAGAAAGAGGATCCCTAGAGTGTGAATGAGGAGATGGGAGGGGAACATTTCAAAGGACCACAGGTTCTTAATTCAAGAGTTCATTTTTTAGGTGTAAACCAATTTTAAAGAGGTATAATCTCTCTATCCTGTTATACACACACATACACACACACGTCTCCAGACTCTGCTCAGAGATAATGCCTGAACTGTAGCAAATTCAAAGTCCTAAAACCTCCCAGAGACATTTGAGAGTGACGTGTTATTCTAGTGATAATCAATCAGCCCAGTCTGATGACTGTAATTTCTGTTGACCAAAAGCAACTTCACTGGTCATTCTACAGTCATTCGATAATCACTGGGTGCCAGGCACGGTGCTAAGCAGTACTTTTCATGCATCACTTAGGTCTATCCACAGAACATTGGTTCTCAATGCATGATCCTCAGACCAGCAATATTGAATCACTCAGGAACCTGCTGGAATTGCGAGTTCTGGGGGCCCACCCACCCCAGGGCTACTAAATTACAGACTGTGAAACCCAGCATTCCATGGTTTAGCAAACCCTCCTGGTGATTCTGATACATACGGAAGTTTGAGAAGCGCCACCTAGGAAGTAGTGCTATTATCATCACTTTGCAATGAGCAACTGAACCCTAAAAAGGTAAAATGATTGTCCTGAGGCACATAGGAAGTAGACAAGATTTGAACCCTAACAAATCAACCTCCAGATCCCAGTCCCCTCATCACAGAACTACACTGCTCATTATCTGAAGAAGGAGTGTGGATTCAATCACCAAACAACAGGCAAAGGCATGCAAAATGGGTACAGGAATGATCATCCTAAATTTCAACAGCTGAGCCATAATGATGGGCCACAAAGAACAATGACATTTCTCAGAAACATAAAACTGAAATGCCTACCAAGATGGGAGTAGTTAAATAAATTAGAATGCACCCATAGGATGAAATACATGCAGCTTTAAAAGTGGCATTTGCCAAGATTCCCAATGACCTACAAAAACAGGACATAAAAAGGGAAGAAAGTCAGATGCAAACTCAGAGGATGGAAGCCCCAACATGGGCAGTCTTCCTGAAGTGTAACATGTTGGTGAGGATGTGGGAAGTCTAGTGACTTCACAAACTGCTTGTGTGAATATAAATTGGTAGAGTTCCTTTGTAGGACAATTTGGTGACAGACACTTCAATTTTTAAATGCAGGTACTCTGTGACCCCAAGATTCTACCTCTTAGGACTCATCCTGAAGAAACATTTGCACATGTGCACAGAGACGTGGGATGATGAGCACTGCAGCTTAGTTTCTAATGGAAAAAAAATCGGAAAACACCTAAATTTTTTATCATTATGGAGACTGGATAAATAAATCATGGTATATCCCTGTTGAGAAATGCAATGCATAGGTTGCAACAAATACACACACACACACGTATATCTACACATACATATCTATCTATATACCTTCATACATGTGAATATTACATGTAATCCATACATGTGTGTCTGCATATAAAAATCCATCTATATCTATATATACACACACATCCACAGGCACACGTGATATATAGCTATAGATAGAATATGGATAGAGAGATACATAGTTGGATACATAGACAGGTCTTGGGCATAGGTTTCCAAGGTAGATTGTTAAGTAAAAGAAAAAAGTTACAGAAAACAAAGTATGATGTAAGTTATAAACAAAAGATGAGTCAACAGGAAGAGAGAAGAAGAGAGTAAACAAAAAGAATCCCATAAGCACACATGCAACATTGTCTACTTGTAGCACACATTTCCAGCAGGAATTATGTACGTATTGCTCTGACTATTCACACACACAAACAAGCACACAAACAACAAAACTCCAGTCCCAATTGGGAGACAAGCAAAGATCGCCCTCTTACTGGTGCAGAGTGTGCAGTGGGGTCTCTGGCTTCTCCGTCTGTCCGTAGCAGCTGGCCTTGGCCTCAGGGATGTAGGAGAACTTCTCCAACATGGAATATGCGGCAGTGGTTAGGATGCCCAGGCCATCCCTCACTCTCGCCTCCAGGCTGTAGTCCCAATCATCGTAGGAGACTGAAATGAGTCCTGATGGAAACTCCTTAGGGATGAGTTCTGTGTTCCCAGAAACCAAGCTGGGGACAATCCAGAAGAAATCATATCCGGTGAGGCCCAGGGAGCGAGCCTCACTCAGGATGAGGACAGCCTCATCTTTGGAACAGTACAGCAAGATGACGGAAGAGTGGATCTTCTTCAACTGGACTTGCGTCTTTGCGTCCTCAAAGGAAGTGTCCAAGGTGATCACATTCTGCATGTCCCAGCCCACAAAGCTGTTGTCCACTGTGGTCTTGATGAAGCTGATGAAGTCCCTGTAACCAGGGAAGATGGTGGTCACTAGCGAGAAGACATGCCAGTCGTAATCCTGCATGATCTTCAACATGACCGTAGCTTGTTGCTGGATGGACGCTCCAAACTGGAAGAAGGTTGACGTCGGATCCTGCCAACAACAGGTGTAAAAAAAAAAAAAAAAGCAAAACAGAGGATGAGGCAGAAGGCAGTTTATATAGAACCATCTGTCTTTATAGGCTTAAAAAGCGCCTCCTGAGAAGGGAGGGAAAATACATCACACACCTATCCATTTGTGAACATTCCTGAGCACCTACTATATGCCACACTTTGGAACAGACACTTGGAATACAGAGGAGAGAGATCCTGAACTTGGAGTCTGCAGCCTCATGCATGAAGGACACCTGTTCCTTTTGCCCCTGGTTTATCCCATTCCTCCTGCCCTTTAGACCCATGTGGTTTCAAGCCCCATATGGTTTCAACACAACAAACTCTATCTGGCCCCTGGCTCAGGACTGAAAAATGTAAACCAAGAGAGACAACATCAAGACATAGAGGCATCCAAATGATGACACACTTGGAGCACCCAGACTCTACCATTTACTCTGGATCTGTTGGTTAGAGAAGCCAATAAATTCCTATGATCACAGGAGCCAGTTTGGGTAGGATTTCTGTCACTTGGACTCTAGACTCCTGTGTAACATGAAGTATAATAAAGGCTAGCTGGACACCTGTCTCAACATCTATCTAAATCAATGAGTATTTGTTGAACATCTAATTATGCAGAAATGCTATTTTAGAACTTGGGGAAACAATGATAGATAAGACAGACACAGACATGGTCTCTGCCTTCCTTCATAGATCTGGTAGGAATTTGAGGAAGAGCAATTTCCAGGGACTAGAGGCTGAGAGAAGTATAAGGGGATGCTGAAGGAGTATCCGGGTCAGGAGGAAGGGAAATGGGAGGACATTATAGTCAGAGGAGTCCTGTAGATATAATCTTGACTATTTTTAGGAGCTGGAAACAAATGCATATGGCTCATGAAGTTGGGGGGATGTGATGATGTTGAAGAGCTTGGCAGGAACCCTATCGTGTATGGCCTCAGGGATTTGTTCAGAGGCTTAGAGCTTATTCAAGCATAAGGGGGAGCTGCTGAATGCTCTTACTCTGGAAAGTGGCATGGCAACTTGTTTTGGGTTAAAGGGCCTCTATCAGTTCTTTTCTTTGTAAGATTTTATTTGAGAGAGACAGAGAGGGGGCGGGGAAGAGAGAGAGAAAGAGAGTGAACAAGTGCACCAGCAAGGGAGAGGGGCAGAGGGAGAAGGAGAAGCAGATTCCCTGCTGAGCAGGAAGCCCAACTCTGGGCTTGATCCCAGGACCCTAGGATCATGACCTGAGCTGAAGATAGATGCTCAACCCACCAAGGCACCCAGGCGCCCCAAGGGCCTCTAATAGTGCTAACACCTCCCTAAATCATGATCTGATCATGAGAACAATATTCCACTTAGAAGAGGCAGGCAGCATCAGGGAAATACAAATCAAAACCACAATGAGATACCACCTCACACCAGTGAGAATGGGGAAAATTAACAAGACAGGAAACAACAAATGTTGGAGAGGATGTGGAGAAAGGGGAACCCTCTTGCACTGTTAGTAGGAATGTGAACTGGTACAGCCACTCTGGAAAACTGTGTGGAGGTTTCTCAAAGAGTTAAAAATAGATCTGCCCTACGACCCAGCAATTGCACTGCTGGGGATTTACCCCAAAGATACAGATGCAGTGAAAAGCCGAGACATCTGCACCCCGATGTTTCTAGCAGCAATGTCCACAATAGCCAAACAGTGGAAGGAGCCTCGGTGTTCATCGAAAGATGAATGGATAAAGGAGATTTGGTCTATGTATACAATGGAATATTCCTCAGCCATTAGAAACGACAAATACCCACCATTTGCTTTGATGTGGATGGAACTGGAGGGTATTATGCTGAGTGAAGTAAGTCGATCGGAGAAGGACAAACATTATATGGTCTCATTATTTGGGGAATATAAAAAATAATGAAAGGGAATAAAGGGGAAAGGAGAGAAAATGAGTGGGAAATATCAGAGAGAGAGAGACAACACAAGAGACTCCTAACTCTGGGAAACAAACAAGGGGTGGTGGGAAGGGAGGTGGGCGGGCGGTTGGGGCGACTGGGTGACAGGCACTGAAGGGGGCACTTGATGGGATGAGCACTGGGGGATATGCTATATATTGGCAAATTGAACTCCAATTAAAAAAAAATGTTTTGACCACCGCTCCACAGCAACACCCTGAACTTACAATCAGGGGGTTATATAACATTGGGAAAAAAATTTCATGAAACAATAAAAAAGAAAGAAAGAAAGAAAAGGCAGGCAGCACATACAGTTGTAGAATTTACAAACTACCTTCACACCCCTTAACACATAAAAATCCCCATGATGACTCTATGAAGGTGGCGTTGTTGGCAGGGGGAAATGAGGCTCAAAACGAACTTGGATTCTGGTTCCATGGCCAGCCCCCTTTCCAAAACACAGCCACAACTTTCTTGGGATCATTGAAGATCTGCAGATAGCAGATGCTTAAACCATGCTGTTGACGGACTGGCATGGTACAAAAATGCCAGCTAAACAGAAGGTATGTCTGCGTGTTACAGCAAAACACAATTTGACAAGTGCTGAGATATTATTTTTCTTTCCCTGAGACCTAAAAGAATTCTCAAGGAGTCCTTATTATAGTGTAGCCATGCTTTCATTTTGCATTCTGTGGTTACCGTATGCATTAACCTCAATAGTAGGAATATGGGGATTCCATTGTATTTGTGTGTATTAAGAGTGGATTGATTCATCTTTCAAAACAATAAGGCTGTGCATGTCAACCCTTTCAAGAAGTGGGCAGAGCTTTCCCTATGGGTGCTCACTGAATAGAAAGTTTTATCTGAATGGGCCAAAAGCTATAGTTCTTCGAAATACTTCCCTTTTCTAAAATGCATAGGTTTGGGGGATAATTCAAGTGCAGCATGGCCTGAAGGCAGAGAGGGAAAAAAAAACAATAGGAACAAATGCCTCTGGGCTCCTTCCAACAATACAGTTTTATGAATTTTATCTAATTAAATCAATTAAAGTGGGTAACAGATTTAAAGACCTTGGATAATTATCTTTTTCCCTACAGTAGCTTTTGGAGAAATGCAATATTCTTGGATTGATTAATCATTTTTAAATCATGCCTCAAAAAGACCATGAATGGCTCAAGGGCAGAGATTCTGCTGTCCTCGTCTCTGTCCCCAGAACCTGGCAGAAGGCTTGGCACATGACACATCAGGGAATGCAGCATGAGGGAATGCATGAGTAAATGAATGTGTGAATGAAATCTAAGAGGAATGTCCTTGCTTTAAAAAACATAACAGCAAAACAGTAGAATTCAGTGTCTGAGATTGTATTTTTTATGGCTCTTGAATGTCATGTCCAGAAAATAAAATCTTTCAACATCACCAACCTACCACTCCTCCATCCAATGTCTGAAATAAGGGGTGACCTTTATTGATCAGAAGAGGAATACAGGAGTCCTATAAGCTTCAACAGCTGTCCACAGGACCTCATTAAATACCAAAAAACAGCGACAACATAAATAACCCAACAATAGAAGAAGGCACAGAAGTGAAGTCTCAAGGCAGTTATATTATCCATCAACCTTATGCGCTGTCAGGTGCTTCTTGGGATGGGACTGAAAAGTTCCAAACTTAATTACAAAGGATATGGAATAATTCCCATGGAGCAAAGATGCCTCCAAGGAAGCTGGTGACCTGAGTCACATTAGGACTGCAAAAGGCAAAGGGGTCAGGGTCTTCTTGCACTGAGCACACGTGGAATGGAGAAAGATGTCAGGAGGGCAAATGCTAAGGGCACGATCAGAACCCAATTAAAAGGATCTCTGGGATGATCCGTACATACACACTTCTTAGTAATAATCAGTATTAGTGTAGAGGTGAGGATGAAGCATGCTAGATGCGGGGGTTGGAGATGTTTGGGATGCTCCAACACCCCTGCTCTGTGTGCTATGAGCCAGACGTTACTGTATCCGTGAGCAGTTTTGTGCAACAGAGCAGAGCTGTAAGCAAGTGCAGCCTTATCTAATTCTCCATGTGGGGAGGAGGGCATGGCTGCATTGTGAACTTCGTGAAAGAGAAAGATAATTATAGGGACAGCAGTTCATTAGCCAAGAGCTCACTTAGCACAGCCGTCTGTATAAGAATATGTTCCAGTTCCTTGCCTGTGCCATTCCTGCTCCCCAATCTTGCAGGGCTTTGTCCAAGCTGCGTCTCTCCTATAACTCTCTCCTGATCCCCATTAGTACCTTCTCTCCAGGACGGACAACACTGTAGCTTCTGGGGTCATGCTATCCAGGTACCAGTCCTAATTGTGCAGCCTTGTGAAAAACTACTTCACCTTTCCAAGACTCAGTTTCCACATCTGTACAACGGGTAATGGCAATGCCAACAGTTATGCCAGTTAACGTGCCTGCAAAAGTCACGCAGCTCAATGCTTTCAATGTAGTATCTCATTTAATCCTACCCCCAACCACCTTCCTAAACTGGTACCAGCATTGTCCCCAACATACAAATGAAGAAACAGACCCAGAGGCAGGACACCTCTCCCAGGGTCATACAAGGCAGTGACTCAGGTTTGCCTGCTTTGGAGGTTCCAAGCTTTTCATCCCTACAGTATCTGGTTGGTGATGATAGCACTTCCTCATTGAGCTGTAGGATTAAATGACCTTGTATAAAAGCAGCCAGTATAGTATCCATCACATATCAAGTACTCAACAAATAGACTTCACTGTTATTCTCCCCGTGGGTGAGGACTCTTGGTGTTTCACATCAGGGGCTCATGGTACCCACTCCCTCACAAGAGGCAATTCCCACTCTGGACTTGAGCATTCCAACAATTCACCCCATTCATGACTGCCTGATTGAAGTTCCTGGTTGAACATTGCTTTAACCATGCCACTCTTCTCCACTATGGTCATCTGTGGCTCCCCTAGATAATCACATTAAGTATAAACTCTCCAGCCTCCCCCTTAATGCATACTAGTCATGTTATAGTTGAAATAGTGTGGGCTCTGGGGTCTATTG